CTGTGGCCCACCAGTCAGAGTGGGCGCATATGGAGGTCAGGTTATTGATGGAATCTTAGCTCATGTCTGTCTCACAGTAGGTACATTGGGTCCCCAAACCCATCCGGTAGTGATTTCCCCAATTCCAGAATGCATAATTGGAATAGGTATACTTAGCAACTGACAGAACCCCCACACTGGATCTCTGACACGTGGAATAAGGGTCATTATGATTGGAAAGTCTAAGTGGAAGCCATTAGAACTACCCATACCCAGAAAAATAGTAAACCAAAGGCAATACTGCATTCTTGGAGGGATTACAGAGATTACTGCCACCATCAAGGACTTGAAGGATGCAGGGCTGGTGATTCCCACCATACCCCATTCAACGCACCTATTTGGCCTGTGCAAAAAACAGGTGGATCTTGGAGGATGACAGTGGATTATTATAAACTTAACCAGGCAATGACTCCAATTGCAGCTGCTATTCCAGATGTGGTTTCAATGCGTGAGCAAATTAATACATCCCCTGGTACCTGATAAGGAACTATTGATCTGACCAATGTCTTTTTCTTGATTCCAGTTTCGAAGGAACACCAGAAACAGTTTGCCTTCAGCTGGCAAGGCCAGCAACACACCTTCACTGTCCTACCTCAGAGGTATATCAACTCTTCAGCCCTATGTCATAATTTAGTCCACAGGAACCTTGATCACCTTTCCCTTTTGCAAGACGTCACAATGGTCCAATATATTGGTGACATTATGCTGATTGGGCCTAGTAAGGAAGAAATATCAGTGACTCTGGACTTATTGGTAAAAACATTTGTGTGCTAGAGGGTGGGAAATCAGTCCCACAAAAATTCAGGTGCCTTCCACCTCAGTGAAATTTCTAGGATCCAGTGGTGTGAAGCATGTCGAGATATTCCTTCTAAAGTGAAGGATAAGTTGTTATATCTGGTCCCTCCTACAACTCAAAAGGAGGCACAATGCTTGGTGGGCTTCTTTGGATTTTGGAGGCAACACGTCCCACATTTGGGTGTGCTGCTCTGGCCTGTTTATCAAATGACTTAAAAAGCTGCTTGTTTTGAGTGGGGCCCAGAACAAGAGAAGGCTCTGCAACAGGTTCAGGCTGCCATCCAAGCCACTTTGCTACTTGGAGCATATGATTTAGCTGATACAATGGTGCTTGAAGTGCCAGTGGCAGATATAGATGCTGTCTGGAGTCTTTGGCAGGCCCCTATTGGTGAATCACAGAGCAGACCCTTAGGATTTTGGAGTAAAGCGCCGCCATCCTCTGCAAATAACTGCTCTACTTTTGATAAACAGCTTTTGACTTGTTACTGGGCTTTAGAACAGACGGAACACTTAACCAAGAGCCACCAAGTCACTGTGCAGCCTGAGCTGCCCATCATGAACTTGATGTTGTCTGACCCACAAAGTCATAAAGTCAGTTGTGCACAGCAGCATCCCATCATTAAATGGAAGTGGTATGTACAAGCTCAGGCTTGAGCAGGACCTGAAGGCACAAGTAAGTTGCATGAGGAAGTGGGCCTCCATGCAGTGCTGCTGCCAGAACCACCATCTGTGAACTCACAGAATGCCTTATCCATGGTCATAGATCCCACACAGCATCATCTCGGATCAAGGGACTCACTTCACAGCCTATGAAGTACGGCAGTGGGCTCATACTCATGCTCATGAAGTTCACTGGTCTTACCATGTTCCCCATCATCCTGAAGCAGCTGGCTTGATAGAACGATGAAATGGCCATCTGAAGACACAATTATGGTGCCAGGTAGGTGACATATCTTGCAGGGTTCAGGCAGTGGTCTCCAGGAGGCTGTATAACCAGCGTCCAATATATGGTGCTGTTTCTCCCATAGCCAGGATTCACGGTTCCAGGAATCAAGGGGTGGAGATGGGAGTGGCACCATTCACTATTGCCCCTAGTAGCCCACTCACAAAATTTTTGCTTCCTGTCCTCAAGATCTTATGCTCTGTGGGTCTGGAGGTCTTAGTTCCAAAGGGAGGAATGTTCCCACCTGGAGACACAACACAGATTTCATTGAACTGAAAGTTAAGAATGCCACCTGGCCACTTTGGACTCCTCCTGCCTCTGAATCAACAGGTGAAGAAGGGAGTTACCATATTGGCTGGAGTGATGGACCCTGACTACCAAGGGGAAATCGAATTGATATTACATAATGGAGGTAAAGAAGAGTGTCTGGAATACAGGAGATTCCTTAGGGCGTCTCTTAGTACTACCATGCCCTGTGATTAAAATCAATGGAAAACTACAGCAACCCAGTTCCAGCATGACTACTAATGGCCCAGACCCTTCAGGAATGAACGTTTGGGCCACTCCACCAGGCAGAGAACCACGATCACCTGAGGTGCTTGCTGAGGGTAAAGGGAATATGAAATGGGTGGTGGAAGAAGGTAGTTTTAAATGCCAGCTATGACCACAGTTGCAGAAGCAAGGTCTGTAATTATCATGAGTATTTCTTCCTTGTATGTGTGCAGCAAATATTTTTGTTTCTTATAAAATGCAGGATGTAAATTAGGCTAGTACATTTTTGGTTGTCTGCATGTTAGTTGTATCTTACTAGGCACAAGTATGACTTTGTAATTGTCTTTATTTAGAGATTGTGTATAGTTTGAGGAGATGTGTACTGGTGCCAAACTGATAAGGGGTGGACTGTGGTGGTTAAGGTTGTGTGTCAACTTAGCTGGGCTGTGATTCTCAGTGGTTTGGCAGTTATATAATGATGCAGTTTGGCAGTTATGTAATGATATAATTTGGCAGTTACCTAATGATGTAGTCATACTCCGTGAAGTGATCTGATATGAACAGCCAGTCAGTTATAAGGAGGGTTTCCTCACTGGGAGTGGCCTGCATCCAATATATATATGGACATTCTGGCAAAGCTCGCTCATCAGCATCTGACTTCCAGTTCTTGGGACTTGAGCTAGGAGCCTGTTGTATTGCCTGCTGATCTTGGGATTCGTTGGCCTCGACAGCCCATGAGCCAGTCAGTAGCCTACTGTCTGACACGCCAATCTTGGGCTTGACAGGTCCTGCAGCTCTGAGTCAGGAGAATTCTCCAGCCTGACACATGACCCACGGACTTGGGACTTGCCAGCCTCTACAACCCTGTGTGTGGGGATATATGCCATTTAAACATGGCTGCACTATTGACAACTGCAGCCCCCACAGGCCTCTATGCTGCACAGCATGTTGAGACTTGTCCCCAACATGTTGAGACTTGTCTCCAACATGTTGAGACTTGTCACGATTTGTTTTCCCAAACCTGTTGTCCCTTTACTGATTGGCTTGTTTACCTGAATTCCTTCTCCCTTGCCCCCACCCAAAGCCCATTGTTCTGTTAATTGCTTTATTGCTTGCTGTATTGACTATAAAATAAACTCCTGGGACTGAAGTGGGGGGGGGGGGTTGACTCCTCAGAGTGACCCTCCTGGCCCCACTTCTCTGTAAGAGTTGTGGCATTGCTTACTGTCTTCGCTGTCCCGACAATTAGTCACCGCTGCAACACCTGTGAGCCATTTCCTTGAGATAAATCTCTCTACATATACATATATGCTTTACTGATTTTGCTTCTCTAGAGAACCCAGCTTAAGACAGATGTTGTCTTAGTTATCTAGTGCTATTATAACAGAAATACCACAAGTGGATGGCTTTAACAAAGAGAAATTTATTCTCTCACAGTCTAGGAGGCTGGAAGTCAGAATTTTGGCCAGCTCCAGGGGAAGGCTTTCTCTCTCTGTTGGCTCTGGTGGAAGGTCCTTGTCATCAATCTTCCCCTTATCTAGGAGCTTCTCAGCACAGGAAGCTTGCATCCAAAGGACGTGCTGTGCTCCTGGCATTGCTTTCTTGGTGGTATGAAGTCCCCCGTCTCTCTGCTCACTTCTGTCGTTTATATCTCAAAAGAGATATCGATTGTAGATTGAGTCCTGCCTCATTAACATAATTGCTGCTAATCCATCTCATTAACATTGTAGAGTTAGGATTTACAACACATAGGACAATTGCATCAGATGAGAAAATGGTGGACAATCACACAATACTGGGAATCATGGCCTAGCCAAGTTGACAGATATTTTTGGCAGACACATTTCAATCCATGACAGGCGTCATCTGCTACTTTCTGGACTTTCACGTTAACTTTGTCTTGCAGTCTCGTGTCTCCAAACAGGCTTCCTCTGCCTACACATGGTCCAACCGGGCTGCCAGCCCCAAGTCTAGGAGACCTGTAGTTCTGGTGCCCACTCAACATAACCACCCAACTTATGTTCCACAACTTCAGAGTCACATGGAGAGGAGGGGCGCTGGTTGGCCCAGCTTGAGTCAGTGTCCACCCTTGGTCCACTCTACTGTGACTGGCACAAGCAGAGTTGCCCAGGCCACACCCTTCGGTATGGAGAGGCAGCGGCCTGCGTGATGTGTCCATTTCCACTACCCAAGTCGACTGTCAGTAATTGTGTGCAGCCTTCTCTAATAACTCAGTAATGAGCTCCTCCTCTGCATCCTCACTGCACTCTACTGGAGGCTTTGTTACCTGCCTTTTATGATGTTAGTTAATTCAGGGCCATCTTTCACTTGGGCATGAACTCCTTAAGGGAAGAGAACCCTGAGAGTATCATTCTTTCCCTGCCCCCAGCACCTAGCACATGATGGGTATTCCATGGTTGTTGTTGTTGATACTGAGATAATGAAATTAGTTCACAAGATAGGCATCTTCAGAAAGTGTTTTTGATAACTATGAATAGTGATGGGAATGGAGCAGGAGTGCTGAGATGTATGCCATGTATGTTCTTTAGGTGTCTCTTCTAGCCCCAAGTGGTACGGTGACATTGGAGTGTCGCAAAGAAGTGATTAGCTTTCTAGAAAAGAAGAGAGGATGAGGCCCTGTGTTTCATTAGTTTCAGGAGTATTCTGCTCATTTTGCCTTTAGTTAGATGGCCTCATGTGGTCCTTGATTAATACGCAGATCTTTGTTTAGGATATCAACTTACGAGTGAAGTGGCCCAACGATATTTATTACAGCGACCTCATGAAGCTTGGTGGAGTTCTGGTCAACTCGACGCTAATGGGAGAAACATTTTATATACTTATTGGTAAGTTTAAGGAATCCTGGTGGCTCAGTGGTTAGTGCCCAGCTGCTAACCAAAAGGTTGGCAGTTTGAACCCACTAGCCACTCCACGGGAGACAGATGTGGCCGTCTGCTTCCGTAAAGATTTACAGACTTGGAAACCCGGAAACCCAGGCAGTTCTACTCTGTCCTATAGGGTTGCCGTGAGTTAGAATCGACTTGTCGGCCGCAGGTTTTTGATTGGTAAGTTTTTAAAAAACCTTTTTGCCAGCATTTTTTGGATTGACAAAATAAGAAAAATGAAAATGGTTCATACACAGCTATGTTGAAGGGAGGGGCAGTGGTGGCTCAGCGGTGGAGTTCTCACCCTCCGTCAGGAGACCCAGGTTCCATGCCCAGCCAGTACACCTCAGGTGAGCTCCCACCCATCTGTCAGTGAAGGCTTGTATGTTGCTATGATTCTCAACAGGTTTCAGTGGAGCTTCCACACTACAACAGACTAGGAAGAAAGGCCTGGCAATCCACTTCTGAAAATCAGTCCGTGAAAACTCTACGGATCACAATGGCCCAATCCCGTTGTACACAGGCTGGCCGTGAGTCAGGGCTGACTCCGCAGCAGCTCACAGCAGCGTGTTGTGGGGAACAAATAATCGAAGGAGATTGCCTTTCTTTCAGTCTTGTAGTTTGAGATCACAATATGTGTACAAACAGGGCCAGGTCAGTTGAGAGTGATTTAAGAGGTTTAGGGTTCCTGTATGGCCATGGAAACCACCAATTGGTATCATAGCAAAGGGGCATTTTCTTACACCTTCCCGCACTCCTGTTTCTAGTTGAATTAGAAATGATGAAAATAAGAATTTAACATACCATTTTGTAATTTTTTAAAAAATTTAATGTACCATTTTGTAGTAAGAAAAGAAAGTTACTTTCAACGGTGGTTCTTCTGGTAGTCTCAAATCCTTTATCTTGACCTTTCCAGGAATTAGAGGCCATGAAAAAGTTAACTTCCTTTAACTTTCAGAAGAAGCTCCAGGCTGTCAGGGTGGAATGAGGAGCATCCATTTCACCTCAGTCCATCCATATCAGGCAAAGAGATGGATTTGGAGTTTCAGAAGTTCTCCTGCCCCCGGCCACCCCGCCATCATCCCCCACGCAATGTCCAGGAGAAATTGATTGGTGTTCAAAACACAGAAAGCATGTGACCTTGAGTTGGAAGCAGCAGCCAAAGAATACAGGGCTTGTGTTTCTGACTCTGCTACCAACTGGCAGTATTATTCTGGGCAAACAGCTTCATATCCTTAAAGTTCCGTTTCCCATCTTTAAATGAAGAATTGGACGACATTCAAAGATTCCTAAGTAGGGCCCACGGATGTTGAGGAGCTCCGTGGAAGGGCCTCAGGGAGCTTAAAAAATCCTGTCAGTGTGGAGGAAATGCCTAAGGGACAGTGGAGGGGAAGTGGGAGGTGATCTTTGATCCTGGAAAGACTCCGAGTCCCCAGCGAGGTTACCTTCTGGTCCTTGGAAGAAGAGGACCTAAATTCTCTTACCTGAGGCAGTGACAATAGTCAGTGTTGCTATTTTCCCTTTGACTTTTAATTTTCTGAATACAAGGGAAAATGCTCAGTACAATATAGCGCTTAATTGAATGCCTTACACTCAACAGGCACTGCAGATCTTGTGCATGTTATTGACTGAATGAACAACGCAAACTCCACCCCATTGCTGTAGCTGCTTGTTTTTTTCAGATGTAATTTGCATTGCTTTGTATTTTAATAGCCAGTCTTTGCAATGTAATTCTTTATTTGGAAAAACAAAGCCTAAGGCCAACCAATCCTTCATTTCACACTGAAAATGGCTCAGAACCCTTACTGGAGGATTTGTTGTTGGAAATGCCATTGTTCAATCTCAAGTGAGTATTTTGGGAGTGTTTTTCTTTAGAGGCTCTGAAAACATAGTGCCTACTTCTTGCAGTATTTCATTTCTTATTAAAGACCTCCTTGAGGCTGATTCAGGGCCCTACAGAAAACTAAGACCCAGCTTCTCTGCAGACTCTGGCCTCCCCCTGAGAGGATAGGGTGCTGAGTAACAGCACAGATAAGCCTATTCTGCCAGCACAGCTCGTTATTGACTCTCCTGAAGCCTTGGGTTAAACCCAAACTAAACCCGTCGCCACCGAGTTGATTCCAACTCATAGCAACCTTATAGGACAGAGTAGAACTGCCCCATAGAGTTCCCAAGGCTGCAATCTTTGTGGAAGCAGACTGCCACATCTTTCTCTCACACAGTGGCTGGTGAGCTCCAACCTCTGACCTTTTGGTCAGCAGCCGAGCACTTAACTACTGCGCTACCAGGGCTCCTTTGAAGCCTTGGGTTAGGAGTCTGTAAAAGAGCCACTGAGCATGTGTTGGCCCCTTGCCAATAGCATAACGTGAGCACTGAAGACTTCCAAGGACAAAGTAGTAAAGATGCCAGGACCAGGGTTTGAAATCTCTGAATCCAGTTTACCCCTTAAATGCTGAATAAGATTCTCTGTTTCCAAGAGTATGTTTTGTTATTCAAGTAGGAAAAGAAGCCAGAGGTTTCATTTTATATTGGGCTCAGTGCAGAGCTACAATTCTTGGTTAGACCACTTGAGGTATAGTTATTTCAGAAGCAAGTCTCTGAAGTTTTGTCCCATTAATGTTGTTAGCTGCCATCAAGTTGGCCCCCGACTCATGGTGACCCCATGCACAACAGAACAAAACACCACCCAGCCCTATGCCATCCCCATGATTGGTTGCATATCAGACCATTGTTATCCATAGGGTTTTCACTGGCTAGTTTTCAGAAGTAGACTGCCAGGCTTTACTTCCTAGTCTGCCTTAACTCTGGAAGCTCTGCTGAAACCTGTTCGGCATCATAGCAACGCACAAGCCTCCACTGACAAACAGGTGCTGGCTGCACATGAGGTGGATTGGCTGGGAATCGAACCCGGCTCTCCCACACGGAAGAGGAGAACTCCACCACTGAACCAGCAATGTCCCACGTCTCATTAATAAAAAGTTGCCATCAAGTCCATTCTGACTCATGGTGACCCATTTAAATAGTGGATGTTTAATTAAACTGAAACAAATGTGGCTTCCTTTCTTCCATGTTCTTACTTGCAGTGAGGCTGGGATGACCCAGGAAGGATGAAAAGGAAGATGGTGTCAGAGATATAAGGGTCCTGAGATGATAAGTTTGGGGGCAGTTGAAATGAAGAAGAGGAAGCAGGAGTTGGACAGTGAAAACTGACTTCTTCTGGGTGGTAGAGAGGAACGTGGGGTGTCAGCAACACATGGTACTGCCTGCGTTTTTCAGTCGTTTGTTGTTTTCGTCCAGGCTGTGGAGTGAACGTGACTAATAGTAACCCTACCATATGCATCAATGACCTCGTCACCGAATACAATAAGCAACAGAGGGTAGACCTGAAGCCCCTAAGAGCCGATTTTCTCATCGCTAGAACCGTGACCCAGCTGGAGAAACTCATTGACACGTTTCAGGACAAAGGACCCAATGGCGTGCTTCCCCTTTATTATAAATATTGGGTACACAGGTTAGTGCGAGCTCTTCTTCATCCTTTTAAAATTCCTTGATTCAATCAGTAGTTCAGTATCTTCCGACGAGAAGCTAAGCACCAGTCTAAATAATTAGTTCTGACCTTTATAATGGAGAAAGGACCCTGCGTGGCACAGTTTGCTCTGGGCTGCTAACCAAAAGGTTGGCCATTCAAACCCACCCAGCAGTGCCACGGAAGAAAGGCCTGGCATTCTGCTTCCGTAAAGATTACAGCCAAGAAAACCCTATGGAGCAGTTTTACTCTGTCACACATAGGGTCGCCATGAGTCAGAATCGACTCGATGGCAACTAACCACGACAATCACTCTCTGAATCAGAAACTCAGGGGCTGGGGCCCAGCAATCTGTGTTTTAACAAACACTCCAGGGAATTCTGATGCAGCTGAAGTTTGAGAACCGTTTCGGTACAACTCCAGGCCTCTACCCTTCAAAAATGTCAATGTGTTGGAAAGCAAACAACCAAAACAAAGGTGGAGGACTTGTTTAAGATTAAAGACTAACGAAGCATGACAACTAAATGTAATACATGATCCATAATTCGGTCCTGGATGGGGGAGATAGCTATAACAGATATTAATGAGACAATGGGGTGAATTTGAACATGGACGATATAGTAGATAATACTATTGCAGCAAGATTGAGTATCTTGAGAGTGATAATGGTATTGTGGTTTTGTAAGGGAATGTTCTTGTTCTCAGGAGATACATACTGAAGTATTTAGGGATAGAGTGTCATGATGTCTGCAACTTATTTTCATATGGTTC